CCAGTCCCGACTTCCCGGGCTCTGCGAGCTGGCGGGCAGCAGGGAAAGAAGCTCGGGTGCCAGCCTCCTTTCCTCTTCCTCCCTTCTGGCGCTTTCTGCCTCATCCACGTTGCACAAATCAGCAACTCCCCGCACCCCTAGGCGCCTTTCCTCAGCAGCTCCGCTTACCTGCGTGACACTCCCAGCGCCCTGACTCCCGTGGTCCCCTCCCCCAGTCATTCACTGAACTTCCCGAGCTGCTACGGGTGGGGGTGGTGGGTGAGGGGAGCCTAAACTTCCCATTCAGTACCTTCCTGGCGCTCTCCCCCAACCTTCCACATGAGACACACCCACCCGGGACACCCCTGCCCCCTCCTGAGCTTACCCCAGCGCCTGGCCGCTTGCAGAGCTTTGGTTGACTCCCTGCATGGTGCATTTTTGTCTTGTTGCTTTTCCCTCCTCATTTGAAAAGACCTGGAAAACAGCGCGCGGAGCCTGAAAAAAAAAAAAAAAAAAAAAAAAAAAAAAAATTCTTGGTGTATGGCCTCCTCCTAGCTGAGCTTCTAAACTTTTCAGACAGTGCGAAGTTTTCGAAGTTTCAACCAGCGCGGTCCTGGACTGCAGGCCAGAAAGAAAGGGGAGACTTTCCCGCTGAGGAAAAAAAAGGGGGGTGGGGGTATGCTTGTATGCTTCTCTGTGGCTTTACAACTGCAAATCAAAGCGACTGTGGCTTTGCGTCCCTGGCTCTATGATTATAAATTTCTCTTCCGTTCTCCTAGTGTAACTGCAAGGACAAACTATGATTTTCATGAAGTAATTAAGGGCGGGGAAAGCACACCTGGAGGTGTGGGCGGGGAGCAGAGCCCAAGAATCATTTTCTGGAGAACACCAGCCTAGAACCCTTCCCATCACCCAGTAGACCAAGGAGCAGAAAGAGGATTTTCCTACCATGCCATCCACCCACCTGCTGCACACCCCAGGCCCCCTGGGGTTTCCAGAGTCATCAGAATTCTCTGCCTCTATCCATAGCTTAGTCCTCCATGCATCAAAAGCAGATGCCTGGGAGTAAAGGTCTAACCATCTCTAGCCTGAGGGACATCTAGGGTTGTCAGAACACAGAAAAGTAGGAGTAGCTGACAGGGACTGTAACTGATAGGGAATGAAAGACAGTGAGGGAATGGATTGCCAACCCCATTGATTTGTAGAAAGGGGTCACTGACAACAGCGATGGACACACAGCAGCTAAGACACTGGGGGGTGGAAAGTTTTCAAGCCTTCAGCAGGTTGTGACTGGAAGGGACCATGGCCATTTCCTTTCTGTGGTTTTTCGCAGTGCTCAAGGCTGAATTGTAAAGCTGGTCATTTATTATCCGAAGCTGTTCATTTTTAAAAATTATTGTTCAAGCTACACAGGCATAGTGACACCCACCTGTAATCTCAGCCCAGGGGAGCTTGAGACAGGATGAAGAGTTTCAGGCCAGCCAGGGCTATATAGCAAGACCGCCTCTATAAAAAAAACCAGGGGGAAAACTGTTCAAATCTCTTTTTAAAAGACTCTGCTTTCCAAACTCCTTTTCTATCAATTTATAACTTATTTGATGATTATCTACTTAAAATACAAAACTACTCCCAATTACTGCTAATATAGTCATACCCAGTACTAACTGTTCTTGACAACAAACAGAAATGAATCCAATAGGGTAGCAGGTGTTAGTTGGAGGTACAGTACTTGCCTAGCAAGTACAAAGACCTGAGCTTGAGCCCCAGCACCACAAAAAAACAAATAATAAATAAACCTATAAATATAAACCACTTCCTATCACAAATAATGATGGCTGATCTTAAACTATTAGGAACTTGGGATGAATAGGAAGCCAACAAGTATTATATATAAGAATATAAGAATACATTGAAAGGGGTTATCACCTAACTATAACTACTAAATTCAGAATAATACTATTTATTGCTTAATTTTCTTTATCTTTCTACTTTCTCTACCTGTTTTGTTTCTCAACATCAATACTTCTATATTTAATGAAAAGAATATTTTAAAGGGATTACCATGGTTAGCCATTCCTCACTGGTTAAAGGCTCAAGGTAAATGGACTTCTCTGAGCTTGCACTCATGTTGATTAGTTTTAATATGTTGGTTTCATCCCTTGCCTTCTTGAGGAATGTAGTTATTTCTATCCCAACTATGTGTCAACTACTGGAACTACCCTGCGGTCCTTGCCAGCCTCAAACGGGGATGCTTGTCCTCATTAAACTAGTGTATTCACCAGTACATTAGGGTGAAAAGATGGACCTCAGAAGTAATTGCTAGCCTAACATGTGCTGGTTTTGATCCCCACCACCACATATGCATACACATGCATACACATATGTATGCATACAAATATTCATGCAATATACACATACACATATGCATATACACATACCTACATGCTCACACATACACACATACAGATGCACACATATAAACACACACAGACACTCTCTCTCTCTCTCTCTCTCTCTCTCTCTCTCTCTCTCTCTCACACACACACACACACACACACACACTGAGTTACTTGCTTTATCTCTTCCTTATTCCATCTACCACAGCTGCAAATGAAATAAACAAGAGGTCTGCCTGGACAGACCTGTCTTGCCGACAAGCAAAG